CCACTCTACCCTAACCCCCTCCCCCTCCCGGCTGTACAGTGATGTGTGCAGGAAGTGATCTCATGCCGCTGTTCCCCTGATTAATAATTCAGCACGGAAGAGGAGCCACAGGGGACCGACCACTCACCCCTAACCCCCTCCCGGCTGTACAGTGACGTGTGCAGGAAGTGATCTCATGCCGCTGTTCCTGATAAATAATTTAGCACGGAAGAGGAGACCCGGGGGACCGACCACTCTCCCCTAACCCCCTCCCCCTCCCAGCGACTGTCCCCTAACCCCCTCCGGCTGTACACTGACGTGTGTAGGAAGTGATCTCATGCCGCTGTTCCTGATGCATGAATAATTTAGCGCGGAAAGAGCGACCCAGGGGACCGACCGGCGCCGAACGTACACCCATCACAAAAGCGGCAAGAGATCAGAGCCAACCTCCCGTCTTCTAACCCACATTTCGGGCTAACTAAAGCGGGAATCACAGCACCAACCTTCGCATGTACAGTCCCCATATCTCCGTTTTATCTCCCAACCGTTGCCAGGTTCAAATCTCGCCCCGTTTCCACAAAATCACGGAACCAAAAACCCGGGATCGGCAAATGACCTCAGTCCGCCCGGACGTCCGCCATGATGGATGTCACAGTTTACGGCACTGTCGTAAGATTCGCTTCTAAGGACTGGAAAGGCGTTTTGAGCCTGGTATTTTAATAGTGTTGGATGCATTTGAAGCGTTTTAAGTAATTTATTTTAAGGTTTTATTGGTTGGAAATAATATCGGAGTATTTTGTTGTTTCATCGACCTTACATTATTTTCATCACTGTCGTAAATTACAGAGCTCTCGGTCGGAAGAGCTGCCGCAAGTCGTCAAACTGTCGTAAACCCGCGGGGTGAAAGGTCAGATTTTGGTATGCAGCTCGCATAGCGGAATCCAGCCTAGCACGGAGCTGCCCGTTACTCCGGAAAACTGCCTCACTTTCTCCAGGTAAGCAGCCAGATTCCTAGCTAAGCTCACGGCTGGTAACACGGCCGATGTTTTTCTGCGTTTTCCCGTGCAGAGTTTGTGAGAAAACGGCGGGATTTTGGTGAGAGAGAGAGCGCGCGTGGGGGGAGATGGATGGGTGATGTCGGACCGTTACACCGCCTGGTAGCTCCCCGGCCGGGCCGACGCCGCCTTGTTTTCCGCACAGTCTGCGAAAACCAGCCATATCTTCACTAAATCTGCGTCTTATTTTCATTCCTCGGCGTCTGCTCAAGGTTTTGCCGGGGTTGTTTGCGATGTTTGCGGGCGGGGAGGGTAGGAAAGCGCCCGGGGAGGGCCGCTGTGCGAGGCACGGGCACGGCCAAAACGGCCTCCTCGGACCGGTAATTTATGGATGTCTGCCGATTTAGGCTGGGCGGGACGAAAATTCCGCACAAAAAAACGTGTTTTCAGCCAATCCCGTCCCATATGGAGCGACAAAGCCGATTTTAGCGCCGCGGAAAGAAAAAAATTATGGTGAAAAGTGGATCGAGCAAGGTGGGGCGGATATTTTCGTGTCTGTGCGGATGTCTAGACGGGAGAATACATCATCAAGCAGACTGTCATGTTGGAAACGCGCATGTAAGATCCGCCAACCCGTCCGTCTGGGCGCTAAACGGGCTGAAAATAAGAAAAATCTCACAAACAGACGGACAGAGACGGTCAGTGTAGCCCGTTTGGCGCTGGAAAACACGGGAACAAAGGGAAAAATCGGCGGGTTTGGGTTGGAAAACAAGCTAGCTGCCGGCCGCCCGGCGCGCTCTGGCATTATCATGCATTATGCAGCACTGATTGCAGAATTACAATGGGCAGGTTTTTGCATGGAAATTCGCACGTAGCCTCATGCGCTATGCAGGCACCGCTTCTAACCCAACACAGCTTAGCTTACCTGCAGTTTCTGATCGGTTTTTACTGTTTTTCTCAACCTTATATTACAGAGAAGATATTTTAGCAATTTTGTGCCAAAATGCTGTTGATTTAGAGATTACACCGACGGTTTAAAATGCAGAGTTAATCCAGTTGTTATCTAATCATAATCTCGGGAGATTATGTATGGCATCTTGATCTTCATCTGAAATAAAAGCACAGGCCATATGGGGGGAGATAGGAAACAAATGGGTCTTTTTTGGGCCAGGACTGGAGGTTTTTCTGACCCATTATTTCCGCATGTTTTTCAAAAATAGCTTCCTTGATTGAGATGTAGATAACATGTATTAATTCTGGCTTAAAAGTCTTAATATTCTTCCTACTTTTCATCTGAACAAAAAATTCCAAAGCTCCTTTAGAAGACTCAAGAGATAAATAGTTTGATTTTTGGCAGGGCAACTGGCAAGAGGTTTTACCACCTTTTGTTATTATCGGATGTTTGTCAAAAATGACATCCTTTAAAAGGCTGCAGATTACTTTAATTCTGTCTGTAGTTTTTATCTTAATTCTGATCAGAGTAAAGACTGCCCAGGACGGTAGGCAGGGCTGAAGCAGGCAGCTGTAGTGTGTAAAGTTTGGGACTTTTCAGCCTGATTGTCGTCTCTGTTATTTGCATTTTTGTCTTATCAGGTCTCTGTTGAATCGTGCCCATCAGTCCCCCAAGTTGACCCCATTCTCCCACCGGCTGGGACAATCTAATTTACGGCTGTTTCTCCTGCCAGATAACACGATTTCCTGACATCACAACCAGAATCAGGGTTGTCACATTCGCAGAGAGAGCAAGCCTTGAAATTAACTTTTTTCCTATTGTCCCAGCACTGTCCCAAAAATAAATTTCACTTGTCCCGAAGTGAGGATGAACCGTGTCTCAATCTGTTTTTTTTTGGGGAAGTATTGTATGACTTCAATTTGAAGTCAACTTTATTACTCCGTGAAGGAGGTCAGGACCTCCGGACGGAGTGTTGTAATCGGCTGATTTTTCATGTTCGCAGTCAAAACACTGGGTTCTCTTTGTGTAATCGGCACGCAATTTTATACGCCGTCTGCGGGCATGCCCGTGTTGATGCACGAATGTGTATTTTTGCCGTTGCTGCTTTCGCGGTCAATGTAATATCGCAGACGCACCCCTACAATTACGAGGCGAATTGGAATGGTCCAGAAAAACGCGTTGTTTGGAATAGCAGTGGGGTTCAAAAAAGTTCATGCAGATACGGGGTGGTTTTTATAAGTGGTTCCAGATGTTTTTGCCCATGGTTAAGAGATGCCAAGTTTTTTGGAAGATGTTCGCAGCCAAAACGCATTCTTCCGTACGTCGCATTTCTGTGTAATTTCGCATGTGGTGTTGCATTATGTCCGGGATGATGCACGTCTTTTTATTTTTACCGTAGCTGTTTTGATATTGGAGTAAATGCTTATTTTCGAAACATCCCCATTTCTTTGAAATGGTTTCGTCCGTTTATGCAACTGTTACTGCGCTAATGACGACCAGTCGCGCTGTCCTGATACACCGCGAATGTGCGAGTGTTCCCTGTAGACAGTCCCGGGAGTCATTTTTTTGCACATTCCAGGAGCCAAACCAAAATACGTTCATGAACCGAGTCCAAAAAACCGAAACGTGAAAATCGGATGATCGGACCTGATGTACATTTCTCTTTCTGTACACACAATACACACATCTTTAGATAATCTGGCCATGGCAGGTTAAAAAAAAAGTAACCCTGAATCATACTAGATTAGCGTAAATGCATGTTAATGCGTTCAAAACAAGAAAAAAATTGTTTCCGGGTATTAATCTCTTGAATCACGGCGCTGAATATTGACGCAAAAATATTTCGGGCATCGCGCGCCCTTCCCGCGTCACGTGTAGGCATCTCGCATCTCTGATTGGTTGTTGCGTCTTAAGATGACTGAGCCGACGCGCGTTTAAACAATTTTTCTTTGTTCGATTTATCACACTTCACAGAGAATTGTCGCCAATGGCTACTTCTTTTTGTTGCAATATATAATACTTCACGGAGAATTGTCACCTATGGCTTCTTGTTTTACTTATGTTCACTATAATTACAGAGTAGACAGGTAATTCGTAGGGACTTTTCCAGATCCAAACGCCGGGACGTGTGCCTGATCAACGAAAGAAGGGCTGACATTCTGATGTTGATTATTTTTCTAAATTGTCCCAAAGTGTCTTTTTGGTTGTCCCAGCCTAAATTTCAGCGGTCAGTGGCCACTGGACCACCTTTAATTTTGAGCACTGGAGAATCAGCTACAATTATTCTGCCCCGCTTGTGTCATTATGCGGCGTGCATAATGGGCAGCAGATTTCTGGCTTTTCAGGTGGTAATGTGTGTTTGTACGGCGATGCTGGGACATAATGAGATTAAACCGGGACAAAGTAAGCGATACACGGAGCAGTAATCAGGGAGAAACGTCACAGTATAACCAGGTTACAGGACAAAGGCCGGGATGTCAGGGGCTCCAAGGAGTAAATCTCTCTTGGGCTGGTCCAGGACACTTGTTTTTGTAGTTCGTGAGTTCTCCTTACTTATTTATCTAGCTTTTTAAGTTCTAAGGACCACTTATACGAACAGTATCTCTTCTCAGTCTCTACCAGACTACTATGCTGGCTACATTATATAGGAGAATATTTGCCAGGGGAGTTTGGCCGCCTTGGAGTTCAGGGAGGGAAAGACACAACCCTCCATAGACTGACTCCCTTGGCGAATTTTACCTGGCTACTTCTTGCCTTATTCTACCATCCCTATTCCCGTAGAAAGGCCTGGTGGAGGCTACCGGGTAACCTCTTCTCCCTAAGTCAGGAACATCAATCCTCCAGACAAGCTAAACTAAACTCAATTCAAAGCCTAAAGTTTAGTCTCCATAGCTTAAGTTCGGTCATGTGGCTGCTTTTCAACAAGGTAGAGTGAGGAACAACTACACAAATAGGGCTTGGTCTAGTTCTGTATTTCATACTGGTCATTAGAAAAGCTGCTATTTACTATTTAAGATGTCTAATTTTTAGTTGAGGTGCTCAGGACAGCACTAGCCTAACAAGGGTGTTCCCATGATGCTCCTGGTGTGCCCCATAATGCCATGCTCTACCTGTAGAGGTGCATGCTGGGACAGAACAACTGGGTTGACAGTTGGGCGTGGCAGCCTGATATCAAGTTACTGGCACTATTGTTACTCAAACCCTGAGCTTGTGCAAACAAACTCACTCTGGTGTGGGCTCTGTAGGTAAAGTAAACAAGGCCCTGTAGTGTGTACTGTAGGTAAAGTAATTATCAGAAAATGCCAATTGAATGTAGTGTGTACTACTTTATTATATAACACCTACTGCATAGGTAAGGTAGTAGTGAACATAACAAGGTCCTGTATATTCTGTAGTATGTGAACAAGGCCGTGTAGTGTGTGGGTAAGGTAGTAGTGAACAAGACCCTGTAGTGTGTAGTGTAGGTAAGGTAGTAGTGAACAAGGCCCTGTAGTGTGTAGTGTAGGTAAGGTAGTAGTGAACAAGGTCCTGTAGTGTGTAGGTAATTATAAGGTAGTAGTGAACAAGGCCCTGTAGTGTGTAGTGTGTAGGTAAAGTAGTAGTGAACAAGGCCCTGTAGTGTGTAGTGTGTAGGTAAGGTAGTAGTGAACAAGGCCCTGTAGTGTGTAGTGTAGGTAAGGTAGTAGTGAACAAGGCTCTGTAGTGTGTAGTGTAGGTAAGGTAGTAGTGAACAAGGCCCTGTAGTGTGTAGTGTAGGTAAGGCCTAGGAAAAAAAATGTTGTGTTTCCGGTTACCCGACCGACCCTATGAAAAACCCCCCGACCCTAGCCTTTTTTGGGCCGACCAAAAATTTCTAGCGGCTAGCGGTCGGTTTCGCGGCAGAGCGAGAGAGCCCGGGCTTTGTGTACATTCGTATAAATTCGGCAACATGGAAGAAAAAAAACTCACGAAAATCTTCCCTTCAAATGAGGAATCAGTGCTCCAACAAATTAAACATAGAGAGAAGAACATTTTTTCTTTGTTGTGACCTTGTATTCAATCCATTTTT